AAAGATTTTCATTTTCTTTTAAAGGTTTGTCATCTTCTGAATACTTGTCGTCTTTTTCTAAAGACTTGGCGTCTTTCTAAGCAAACTTATCATCTTCTAAAGACTTGTCTATTAATAACATATCTAAGCGATCGGAAAGCTCCTACAGAAGGAACGGTGAAAGAATTAAGTATAAGACTAGGATACATAACCAGAGGACGACAGGGTCCACAGGAGGCATCCCAGTCGTCGAATAGTGACCTTCTTAACAACCCGCTACGGCCACAAGTCAACAGACATGCGACCGCACGTCACACTTAAGTTTAAAAATGGAAAATATCTAATAGCTTTAGTGGATACAGGAGTACAATTCACATTAATAGGAGGAAAAGGAAAAAAGAGCAGAAGAATACAGGTTGCACAACTTTCATAAAAACATCAGACGGCAGTTCCAACAGCATTTAAGACACGTACATAACAGAATATTCCATAGACGACAAATGGTTAAAAACAGAATGAAGTTTTATTTCCAAAGAACTCTATCTCCGACTGTCTAAAATCTACCCGCTACCCAAACAAACTACAGGACTACAGGAGGGGTTACACGTTAATGTTATCAGTTGTATAGTTATTGTAAAAGTTGAGTTGGAATAAATTGAGATACCAAAAACAATATCTTCACTAAATATGTTTATAAATGTTTGGATAATTGACTGATTTTATGTTGCTAATCTATATTTTGACCTTTCACGGGCATTTGATTGCATAAATTCTGATATTATTAACAATAAATTTCATAACATTAAATTAAAAGGATTATATTTTGCTTGTTTCTATAGTTTTATCTCAGATAGGTCAAGTTTGTTAAATTAAATGATTCTAAGTTTTAGTTGACATGGGTGTAACTTAGGGGTATGTACTTGTACCCTTATCTTTTTTTAATTTGATATCGGCATCAAATACTTAAGTTATTCGCCTCGTGTTAAGTGTAGGCTTTGTTAATGTTTGCCAGCGCTATTTTAGGAACAGCACTGTTAATTAGAACTCAACACTGAATGGTCGATTGGAGAATACTACCTATACATTAGTAATAATTAATTTATTAAATTTAATTAAAATCCCAGCCACTGGTGGGATTCGATCCTAAGATCCTATTTCTCGAATTTATGACTCTAACTACTAAGTTAATTCACTCCTTGTACCCTTATTATTAGAGAGCGGAATATATGCAAAATGCATATATATGCATTTTTTGCATATTTTACCAAAGTTCAGAAAATATTGCATATTTTTCCAAAATTCAGAAAATATTGCATATTTTACCAAAGTTCAGAAAATTTAAGAAAATATTGCATATTTTCGGAAAAAAAAAATGTATTACTATACTGTGCAAATCAAAAACTGTTTTAACAGATTATACAGATATATTTGAAATAAAGACCTTTTAAATTTTTGTATTTGTTTTTAAGTGTCACTTCTTGTAAATTCTTATTAATTAGTTCTTGGAGGGTGGCATGCACTGGGTTTTTACCTTCTTAAGAGATTAAGCGCATTATGGTAATTGTTAATAGATGGTATTTACACAGATAAAGTATTACCTACAATGCAATAAAACGGTTTATATAAAATTTTCAGTAATTTCTTGTAACCAATCTACCCTAACATCGGAATATTTTGAATGTTTTTCATTCAGTTTAATGAGATAGTATCCTCGTTATTTGCCTAGTGAAAAGTCTTGTAATAATTTGTTGTTTTAAAAGTGTCCTAAAATGTCGAGAATTTCTTCGTGGATTATTAACTTTCCAGAGTTGGAAATCAATGGGGATAAAGTTTTTTTGTAAAGCTTGTGCCAAAATAGTGGTTTGCGAAAAAAAGTTCAAAGTGGTTCAACACGTGAAAACATCATTGCATAAAGCCAAATTGCAAAAAATGAAATCACAACCGGTTCAACAATGCGTTGTGAGGTCATTTCAAAACGCCGACAAAACAAAAAGTGACAAGGAGGTATTTAATCAGGACTTGTGCAAAGTTCTTGTTGCGGCAAATATTCCATTAAAGAAGTTACAAAACCTACATCTAAGAGAATTTTTACAAAAATATTGCAATCAAACCATTCCTGACGAATCTACACTCAGAAAAAAAAATGTACATGCTATATATACAGGGTGGCTCACGCTCAACGGGACGGAGCTTTATGGGAAAACGACCAAAGATATAAAAAATTCGTTTGGGAGGAATACGTAGGTTACAGACGGCTACAATTTAAAATTTGTTAGATGTATACATAAATGTATACATAGATGTATACATAAGAAAAAAAATTAGTTCATTAAAAATTATTCAAACAAGAGTAAACAATTAATTTCTGGAAGACTTTTTTTCCTTAAAAATTCAAATAAATCGAAAACTAATAATAATAGTAATAGGGAACCTTTAGTTAACTGACATTATTTTTGATGTAGTTTTTAATTCTAAAATAAAAAACAGGGTGTTCCATTAAAAATAATATAACTTTGTATATTTTCTCTTATGTGGGACATCCTGTATACATCTAACAAATTTTAAATTGTAGCCGTCTGTAACCTACGTATTCCTCCCAAACGAATTTTTTATATCTTTGGTCGTTTTCCCATAAAGCTCCGTCCCGTTGAGCGTGAGCCACCCTGTATAAATGTAATAGAAGAAATTAAAGTTTTACTGGATGATAGCAATTTTTACATCATTGTCGATGAAAGCACAGATGCTTGTGGAAGATATATGGTACATCTTATGATTGGAGCCTTAAAAGAAAATGAACCAGGTACATCATATTTAATTGCATCAAAACAGTTAGAAAAAACTAACAATACAACTGTTACCCGATTTATTCAACAATCTCTAGCAGAATTTTTTTTACCAAATCAAATTCCCTCAGAGAAGTTCTTAGTGTTTTTGTCTGACGCAGCACCATATATGATAAAAGTAGGGCAAAACTTAAAAATATTTTATCCAAATATGGTCCACGTTACTTGTCTTCTGCATGGAATAAACTTAGTTGCAGAAACTGTGAGAACAGAATATCCCTTGGTTAACAAGCTAATTTCGAATGTGAAAAAAATATTTTTAAAAGCCCCTTTAAGAGTGCAGTTGTATAAAGAGAGAATGGTAGGGGTGTGTTTGCCCCCGGAACCCGTAATTACGCGATGGGGGACATGGATTAAAGCAGCTATATTCTATGCAGAAAATTTTGAAGCAATTAAGGATTTAATTTTGGATATAGAAGACAATTCACAATGTGTAGTGCAAAGTAAAGAATTGTTAAAAAATCCCCTTGTGCCTAAGCAACTTGTGTTTATAAAGGTTAATTTTAGTTTTTTACCTGATGTAATAACTTCATTGGAAAAGAAAAATTTAAGTTTAATCGAATCAACAGTTTCCGATAAATGTAACAATGTTCCTGGTGACATAGGCCTTAAGATTAGAAAAAAATTAAATACAACTTTATTAAAGAATGAAGGGTTCAATTAAATAAGGGAAGTGAAAAACATTTTTGAGGGAAAATTTTCCAAAGAAGTTTTACGTTGGCCCTGTAAATTACTTCCAAAATTACGGTATTGTCCTATTACTTCGGTAGATGTTGAAAGGACCTTTTCTATATCAAAACATATTTTTACAGACAGAAGACAAAAATGTTTAATAGAAAATTTCGAAAAATATTTAATTATAAATTCCTATTATAATATTACTATTTAATATTTTTATACTATTCTATACTTAACTTCTACTATTTTTTGTGTTTCGTTTGTTTTAAATAAATTTTTATATTACATATTTTCTTTTGTTTTTTTTTTTTTCGTGTAATGGCTTTGATAGCGTACCAAATTAGGAACAGCAATGTTAATTAGGACCAGCAATGTTAATTAGAACCCAACAGTGAATGGTCAAGTGGAAATATTCGCTAGACATCAGAATTAATTTTTATAAAAAATCGCGTCCCGGCTGGAATTTGAACCCGGGACCCCTAAGTCCACAGGCCAACGCACTAACCACTGAGCTACCCACCCCCTACTTTTTTTTAAAGTATTTTTAACAAATATGCATTTGCATATTTAGGCATAATTGGACAAAATAACTGCATATTTTTGGTAAAAACGATGCATATATATATATATATATATATATATATATATATATATATGCGCATATTTTGTTGTATTTTGATGCATATAAGTATTCCGCCCTCTACATTATTATTACTTTTCATTAATGACTTACCACACCATAAAGATGCAAATATTACATTATTATTAATATTAATCTTAGCAAATATTCTAAGTACGCCTATGGTATTATATAATTCAATTTATACATAAATATAAGTAGATGTTAATATCATTTTTTTTACTTTACTAAGAACTGAAGAGTACTATAAGAGTTTCAGTTAAAAAAGTGAGTAAATATGTTACTAAATCCATTATTATTGGTTTTGGGAATCATTATTGGTTGCCACTGCCAAGAACAAACTCCTTTACAAAAAGTAGTTGAATCAGGCAGCAAATTTAATGGTAATCTGCATAAGGTAAGTTTCAAGCCTTTTAGTTCCAACTCGGTACTATTATACTGGTCAATATATTATGTATAGTGTAAAATTTTTTGTCAGTAAAAATCATTATTTGTTTTTGCCTGATGATATTGATACCTGTACAGAATTTTACTAAAGCAAATATTTATAATAAAAAAAGAATTTTTTTATTAATTCATAAAAATTAATAGAAAAATTATGTTTGTAAAACTAATCTAAATCACTATCATCACCCTCATTACCTTCCTTATCAGATTCTCCGTTGCTTACATTAATAACAAGTCTTTTTGAAACTAGTACGTGTCGCATATATTCGTTTTCAACCTTTATTACATAGTTTATAGCGTTTCTCAGTTCTCAGAGGTAATATTTGAGAACTCTTTCAATGTCTTACAACGCTATCGGATTTTTTTTATTTTTACTTGTTTTTAAGGTGGGCCCATAAATAGTTTAATCGGGTTCAAAACACAGTAGTAAGGAGGTAATCTTAACACATTATGACCATTTGTCTTGGCCATTTCGTCAAAGATATGATCCCTACCGATTATTTTTGTATTTAGAACTTCTATAAGTTAAGTCTTCATATAAAGCTTTACAAAATAAAAAAACTTCAATTCAAATTTTTTTCCTCACAACCAAGTTAATTTTAAATCAATATTTTGTTTTGTTAAAAGTTGATCATCGATGTCTTAATTGCTTTGACATTCCCAAATTTCCAAAATATCTCGATCCTGGTTCAAAAACTAGAACATAATGTTCTTCAACAACTTTTTTTGACAAAACTTGTCTCCTATTTTCTTTTGGATTAAAGTCTTATCTTTGCGCCCATCAAAATATATTGCCTCAACTTCATAAGCATTGTCACCAAATTTTCTTTTCAGGTTTCTGCGACTTTTAAGGCTAGCCCTCCATATTTTACTACGATCTACAATTTTTATACAATATTTATACAATACCGTCGTCTTTTGCCAACACTGCTGGGTTGAAAAGGGCTCAAAATGGCCCTTAAAGTCCGAAAAAATGGTTTCCCGCTAATATCTGCCAAAATATACAAATTAGACCATTATTGTTTAGATAAAAAATGAAGATCGTATCATTATCTAAAAAAATGGTCCCTACCATTTTTTTCGCAAGACGAATATTTTTTGCAAAAACGGCCTTCGAATACGCCCGAATTTTTGCACTGAATAGAAATGTTAGTTTCTCATTGAATTTCCGCTCGAGGGAGTTAGGAATACATTGATTTTCATGTTTTGGACTTTGGAGACCAATTGTAGATGGCGCCAGCGGCATACCTCTGCTCACTAAATTATGGGGCCTATGAATGGAAATCCGGGCACCAATCGATCTTTCGACAATTATTGGCGGATTCTACGGGATTTTTTCTGTAAAGTAGCGCTTGGGGTATCTCATCTATATTGCCGAATGTTATGTGAAATTTGCGTTGCAAAATTTAATAGGAAAGTGCAAAAAAAAATTTTTTTTTTCATGTGGCAGTCTCAATTCCCGACGCTTTGCCTAATAGTGGGTTATTAGTTTTAGAGTGTGATGAATATTGACCCGAGAAGACCCTTTATATTTTTTGCGTCTTTTGCAAAATTTTCGCCAACTTCTATCGGAACAATATAGGTCCAGGGTTTCAGAAAAATAAGAAGTTTCTGAAAAATTTCTTTTATTATGAAAAACATGTTGAAAATACGAAATACATAGCAATGCTTATAATTTATCATACGTTAAACCATTCAATGTCATCAGAATTATACTCTTCATCGTCTTGCTCTATTTCTTCCCCTCCTCCACGCGTCCCTTCCCCCTATTTTTCCAACCTCTGTGTTGCTGTCTCCACAGCTATTTCATCCTCCTCCCCTTCAACCCCTTCTGGGTCTCGATCCATCCCTAATTCTTCCGGAAAAATAACTTCATTTTTGTTATAATTAAAACACTGTGTCGACTGACACGAACCACAGACAGGCGAGCATTTCAGTCCGGCTTTCAAACATGAACACTTCTTCTCGCAAGAGTTCCAGGAGGGCCGGATCCCTTTTACACTTAATTTCATTAATGGTTCTGGTAATTTACACTCACTTTGTAAAGAAAATCTTCTAGAAGTGCCGCTAAAAGCTCTGTATCTAAAGGGCTTTCTATTTTATGTTTGTTTTAAACTAAAAAAAAAAAGAATAACATTAGTAGAAATAATTATATGATAGATATAGCAACAAAAGACTTACCTCAATCCCAAATCTTCGATATATATTCCACTTTAACTCATTTGTGTTAAATATAGAAAAGAAAAGTAATCATTGTTTATTATTGTACTACTCGAACCCAGAATTGTGAATTTTCTTTAAATATACGAAAGAAATATATAACAACCGACAATAACGACTCAAAAACAACAGAGAGTGTATACCAACAAAAGCAGACGATTAAGGTGAGCGCGTGGCGCGTGGGTACACATGATTAGGTTATGATGGAATATCATGGATCTCAGGCGGAGAGCGTAAAAATGGGGAAGATAATTCTAACAAACAGTTAAGAACCACGCTCACATACGGGGATCAATTAATAGAAATGGAAAGGTGAGAATATCAGCTTCACTTCGGTCTGGGTATTAATGTTCAAAAAATTAACAGCGGGGAACAAGAAGTATTTAAAAAAAAAGTCCGGTTTTCCCCGGTGTTATCAATTTTCCCGATTTCTGGAAAATGGAACAACTTTATTAAAAAAAAAAAATACATTCAAAAAGTAGACACTCTATGCTTTAAAACGGTGTGCATTGAATAACAATATAATGAAATATAAGTTTTTAATTACTGCTTGTTTCAAAGATTTCTAGAACTCCGAAAACGTATATAAAATGCAAATAAACAAATCAATTTTGTTTTAAAACGCCAGGAAGATACTGGAAAAAATTTCTGAGATCATTCGAGACATCTCAAGTTCCCATTTAAAACAAAAATGGGATAAAAACTATTAAAAGAAAAAAAATATGAATGAATTACTATAAAGTGGTCCAAAATAGTTGGAAAACCCAACTTTGACCCCTTTTTCAATGTTCTTGACAGGAAATAATGGGCACATGGATCGATATCTATGGGTTTTCCCATTGTAATGAACTTTGAATCATCAAAAAATATCAATTTTTGACTGAGTTCTGAAACAATTTGTCCACCCGTTTACAAGCTAATCAGCATTGCTATAGAATTAAAGCAGGGGCTGAACGAGGGGACTTTTGATTGCGGTTATCTCGAAACCTGTCGAATTCCCGACAAAAATGATAGGGACCATTTTTGTAGATAATAATAAGATCTTTCTTTTTTATTTAAACAAAAATTCTCAAATTTGCATATTGTGGAAGATATTGGCGAGAAACCAGTTTTAGGGTCCATTTTGGGCCCTTTCCACGCAGCAGAGTTGGTAAAAGGTTTCGACCTTGGAAGCGACCGCCGAGACCTAAGAGTTGAGCCACAACGGAAATATGGAAATATGAATGACAGGTTGGTCTCTTCAGTTACTGGACTATATAGTAAAGCCAGAGATCTAGTGACTCTCAAATAATATTAGCGGACGACCCTCGTTATCACTATTGTTTAATTTGTAGATAAGCGCTAACATTGTCTGTTGGTTAAAATATTCCCAGGTCCGGATTAAAATATATATTCTCATGAAATAGTAAATAATATGTTTTTTAATATTATAATTGACGGCTCTTTATTTCAATTGTTAACAGTTCTGAATGTAAAATTAGTTTTAAAATAAAAAAATACTTGTGACACTCGGGGACTGCCGCGGTAAAGCTATTGCATAGCATTTTTTATTTATGCAGTATTTTTTTTCTTCGATATTAATTCAAGTTTTTTCTTTGATATTAATTCAAGTTACACTTTTTGAGCGTGGTGACCGATAAGAAAACAATTTTTTTCTTTTATTGAATAAATAAGAAGTTAATATTATTTAAAATATTTTTATTATCTTACAATACATTCAGGAATTTTTATCATTGAAACTATAGGTTTATGGTAACTGAAATAAGAAACATAAGTTTGAGACTTGATATCCTCTAAATATCTGGAAAATACAGCGTCAATGGTGGTCCCATATTTTGTTGTGGATTCTTGTGCATCATTATTCATTTTCAAATTTAATTTTTCCGAAATTGTGTCTAAAAGGGATAGAATCAGTTAGCAGCTGGTCTACTGCATACGTCTAGTCGCACGCACACAAACACCGTGCCGAAATCTGCCGAACTGAAACGAAGTTAGACGATGTACGGCTTTCAACGCCGCACCGCTGTGCCGGTCGGAGTGGGGGGTGTTAGGTTTATTTTCGTTACGGAATTTCTGTTTCGATTTTTCGATTTTTCAATTTTTCGATTTTTGTATGCCCCGCCCTACTGTGTGACGTAACTGCATGCGTTGCGCAAATTAAGCTGATTTAAGTGATTTTATGATTGTTTCACTACGTTTCAGGGATCTGTTAACGTGCGACATCTCTTTTTACCTAAATACTTTCAAGAACGCTCTCACTCCTTCAGGCTCACTCATAAAAGAACGCCACGGAAACGTGATTAGCCAGAGCGCAATGGCGTACCCAAAAATAGATATCAACACGTATGACAATAAAATTATTAAAATTGAATTAATATTTTTATGTTATTTATTTTAAAATAATTTATTTTTATGAAATGTAAGTGGGTGATCACTGCATAAATAAACCAATGGAGAAATTGCCCCTGTTTCTTATTAGCCTAGAACAATTTATATTTCTTGGCAGGACGTATAACAAAATCATAAGTTATAACCTAACCTAAACTAAATATATTCGAGAGTTAAAAGTCACCTCACAGTAGATATGGGGTGCGTTAAGAATACTTTTGAACTGCACGTGACATATACCGCGCATGTGCAGTTCAAAAGTATTCCCAACGCACCCCATATCTACTCTGAACCGGTGGGTCAAACCTGAGAATTTTCGATATAAAAGTCATGACTCTAACCACTAAGTCATCCCACCCCCTTCAAGCTGGAATAGAAAGTAATAAACCAAAATATTGATTCAGGAGAGATTGTTACGTTGTCCGAAAACATGTTTTTTTTATATTATATATTAAATTCTTCAAAATTTATAAAGATAAAAATATCAAGAATGAATATACATGATTAATATTATAACATTTATTGTTATTCCAGACAATACTAAATAAATTTTTATTTTTCTAGGAACTCGCTAATACACAAAATGGTAATTTTGTTTACAGTGGACTATCGGCAAACTTAGTTTTATCTCTGTTGACCAGTGGTGCTAAAGGAGATACAAAAAATGAATTAGTATCGGGATTAAACTTAGTCCAGGATGATAAAGAACGTACCAACGGTTATAAACAACTAACTTCTAGCCTAAATGTTAATTCCGAAGACTTGAAAGTACTCTCAGCCAATAAAATATATCCAGCTAAAGGTTTTCCTGTAGAAGAATCATTCAAGAATACTGCTGTTAACGATTACCAATCCGAAGTTGAAAATATTGACTACCAAAATAAAGAACACGCTGCAGGTACCATTAATGAATGGGTAGGACAAAAAACGAATAATAAAATACAAAATTTGATTAACCCAGACAAACTTAATCCTGAAACTAAATTGGTTTTGGCAAATACGTTGTATTTCAGTGGGAAATGGGTACGACCATTTGATTTCTCCTGGAAGGGATCATTCCACTCAACAGAAACGCAATCGAAAGAGGTATGTTATTTTGAAATACATTTAATATTAAAAAAAACACACTAGGTACCTGACCAATGACGCTCTTTTAAAGGAAATACCTTTCCTTACGAAAACAAAATTTTAGAAAGGGGGTGGTGGTCATTCAAAACTGCATCCCGAATCGGTTAGGTACAATTTTTAACAACGAAACTGCATCCACGGAGCAAATTTTATTACTACCAAAATTCTACGAAAATTTAACCAGTGTTGTCAAATGTAATTTTTGAAAGTAGGTACCGTAATGTACTCTATTTAACCTTAAAATTTATAAAAACTCAATAACCTAAACTTACCTCGGCTAGCTTTCTTTTTTATATATTTTATCACTTTATTTTATATAGAGCAGATTCTCTTTCTCTGAGTGGTGCCGGTTCAAGAAGTATTATATTTTATAAACTTTATTTTTATTTTTTTATTTAATTAAATTTAGTTTATTTTAGTTTATTTTAGTTTATTTTAGTTTATTTTATTTTAGTTTATTTTAGTTTATTTTAGTTTATTTTAGTTTATTTTAGTTTATTTTAGTTTATTTTAGTTTATTTTAGTTTATTTTAGTTTATTTTAGTTTATTTTATTTTAGTTTATTTTAGTTTATTTTAGTTTATTTTAGTTTATTTTAGTTTATTTTAGTTTATTTTAGTTTATTTTAGTTTATTTTAGTTTATTTTAGTTCATTTTAGTTCATTTTAGTTCATTTTAGTTTATTTTAGTTTATTTTAGTTTATTTTAGTTTATTTTAGTTTATTTTAGTTTATTTTAGTTCATTTTAGTTCATTTTAGTTTATTTTAGTTTATTTTAGTTTATTTTAGTTTATTTTAGTTTATTTTAGTTTATTTTAGTTTATTTTAGTTTATTTTAGTTTATTTTAGTTTATTTTAGTTTATTTTAGTTTATTTTAGTTTATTTTAGTTTATTTTAGTTTATTTTAGTTTATTTTAGTTTATTTTAGTTTATTTTAGTTTATTTTAGTTTATTTTAGTTTATTTTAGTTTATTTTAGTTTATTTTAGTTTATTTTAGTTTATTTTAGTTTATTTTAGTTTATTTTAGTTTATTTTAGTTTATTTTAGTTTATTTTAGTTTATTTTAGTTTATTTTAGTTTATTTTAGTTTATTTTAGTTTATTTTAGTTTATTTTAGTTTATTTTAGTTTATTTTAGTTTATTTTAGTTTATTTTAGTTTATTTTAGTTTATTTTAGTTTATTTTAGTTTATTTTAGTTTATTTTAGTTTATTTTAGTTTATTTTAGTTTATTTTAGTTTATTTTAGTTTATTTTAGTTTATTTTAGTTTATTTTAGTTTATTTTAGTTTATTTTAGTTTATTTTAGTTTATTTTAGTTTATTTTAGTTTATTTTAGTTTATTTTAGTTTATTTTAGTTTATTTTAGTTTATTTTAGTTTATTTTAGTTTATTTTAGTTTATTTTAGTTTATTTTAGTTTATTTTAGTTTATTTTAGTTTATTTTAGTTTATTTTAGTTTATTTTAGTTTATTTTAGTTTATTTTAGTTTATTTTAGTTTATTTTAGTTTATTTTAGTTTATTTTAGTTTATTTTAGTTTATTTTAGTTTATTTTAGTTTATTTTAGTTTATTTTAGTTTATTTTAGTTTATTTTAGTTTATTTTAGTTTATTTTAGTTTATTTTAGTTTATTTTAGTTTATTTTAGTTTATTTTAGTTTATTTTAGTTTATTTTAGTTTATTTTAGTTTATTTTAGTTTATTTTAGTTTATTTTAGTTTATTTAGTTATTATAGAAAAATGATTCCTATATTTATGATATCAAGCAATTAGATACTTAAATAAACAAAACTCTTACAAAATCAAATTTGTGTTTAATTTTAACAAAATAAGTATCTGCGAATTTCACAAATATCAGGTCTTTTATTACCTGTTATATCTGAACATTTAAAAGAAACTATTAACTATTCTACTACACCTACTAAACTTAATTAACAAAAAAAAATAACTCTTGTTAAAGAAAAATTTAAATAGATTTATTAAAATTTTAACTATAACTATTATTACAAATTTTCAGTTTTTAAAAAAACAACTTGAATGAATATCTATTCCTCACTATAAACTATAATTACACAAAAATATAAATGTTTTTATAAATACCGTGTTCACATCACTGCTGTGTCCATGTCTCTTTCAATCGCCTATAAATTTTTTAAACTTTCCTCTTCTTTTCCTCCTAATATTTCTTCTGATATGTATTTCCTTTTTACAATGGATCGTTAACAGTTTGTTTATTTAAGTTTCTTGTACTCGTATATCTTTATATAATAATCTTATTCATAAATTTTCCTTGACATTTTTAAAAATTTCAAAATTCATCAACCTTCAAACTGACTTTTTCCTAACAATCTTTTTTTATCTAGAAACCATTTTTTCTATCTCTTAATCTGCTTCTCTTAAGACTTCTTACAATATTTTTATAATACAGGGTTATCAAAAACTTTTCATTATTTTTAATTATTACTATTATTATTGAATTATTAATATACTTATTATTAGTATATTAAAATACAGGGTGTTTTAATACCATATCAGTACCTACCTACAAAGCAAAAGAAACATACATAAAAGGTACTTTATTGAACCCATACCAGAAAAATGTTAGAAAATTAGAAAATGGGGTATGCATATAACAGAATTATTGGAAGCTATATTTTTATATACTGGTTATTCCAGTAATAATTAACATAGTAATAATTGTTGTTTTGTGATGAGGTTATTTGGATAAAACTAACTTAAATTACCAAATGGACTTTTAATTAGCTTTAGTTCCAGCTATAAACGAATTATCATTAAACATGCCGAGGGAAGACCAGTATACTATCGTCAAATATTATTAATTTTAGTTCGTCTTTGTCTTTGTGTTGGTGTCTGCGTTGCTGTTTTTGTGCAGTTTTTAATACTGCAAGCAACATTTTGTTAAAGTGAGACAGGCATATCATTATTGGTAATTTATGGCTATACATTCAGTTTTTAAAAAATGTTGGCCAATAAAACAGTAAAATGATGGCAATGCAGTAAGCATTTGTGAAAACTCAAAGATCTGACGATACAATACTGCAATCAGTTTTGGATCACAATCATAAAAAGTTATCCCATGAAGTTTTTAACAGACATCTCGTGAGTAATTCAGTTAAGCGTAAAGTATGAAGGACATTTGTGAAAAACTAATAATTAGAAACTAAAGGTATTTTTTAGCGAGTGTTTGGTTTAAAATATTTTCGACTGTTTTAAACCGTTTAACTTTTAGCGATGCAACTATGACGTCACTTACGAAATATTTTAAACCAAAGCTAAAATTTTTGAACCAGTTGGAGGCATATGGTTCAATAACGGTTGACACATAAGAGATTCTGATTTTGACTGTTGTATGTTGTTTTGCTCTATTCCATCTTTGAACATTTTAATATATGTGACGTTTTGTTGATTTTTATTGATTTTTGATAACTTCATACATATATGTGATTCATATTCATACATTAATTGGTTATAATGTTATAATACAATTATTATTAATATTTATGGTAATCATAAACAGTTGGACAATGTGATCTACCTGTAGGTTACTCTTGATTATGAAACAATGTTGCAATTGAAATAAGGTTAAAGGATTACTTATCAGTTGTACGTTTTTTGCAAAAATAATTACGTAGTTTGCTTCAGATTCTGAATTTGCCAGCAAATATATAAAAGCAATTAAACGTTCTTTGGCAGTTGAAGAACTTTGGAAAAGCCCAAAAAATCTACAGCAAATAATCGTTAGATAATCGCGTATCATAAATATATGATGCCATGTTAATTGACAAGAAAAATACCAAAAATAAAACAGTAATCAACATTTCAGATTGAAATGTATTAAAAATCCACCAATTTTTAATTAAAATCGCTATCAAACACTTATCTTCCTTCATCTGATTTAAAATAATCATTAAAAAAAATCAATTCATTTTTTAAATCGACTTCGCTTCTCCTTTCTAGAACTTATTTCAACCGGTAATCCATCAAAAAATAATACGATCGAAATCAGTATTTAAAATTTTGTCATATGACAGTTAGCAGGTTATATTTTTAAAACAATCTATTTTTGCCATCTATTAATTCATGACGTCACTTTAAATATGGTTTAAAAAATATTTTAAACCAATGTGGTGGCTAAAAAACAGCTCAAATTAAAAATTCTGCAGTCAAGACCTTAACTACAAAGGACATTGTAAGATTGAGGCAAAATATATACAATGCAAAATCTACTCTTCTTTTTAAAAATCCTAAAAATATTTGCGAATTTCATATGGTAATTGAGTCTTCTTCTTCTTTTTGTGGTTATGGGCTTAATCCAAGTACTATCCACCCAGGAAAGTTGCTTAAATTAATATGGTTATTCTGTCGAGAGCATGGAGTTATAATACTAATGGAGATGCCATGAGGCAATTGTTTTGCATATGATACGTTTTATTAAAAATGACCCCACTGGGCGTGGCTTAAATGGTTGACTAAGCAGAGTCGTATTCAAATATAATTAAAGTCCGTATGCAGAATTACAACTTTTAAATGACTTACTTACCTAAGATTTGTTTCAACATGATTGATTCGAAATTAATTTGATGACATTGCGCACTTATGACTTCTACACTATTTACTATTATTTATTAACAGTTTTCCGACCAAGTCAATGCCAAGACCATAAAAGAGATTAATATTATTATATTGTTCTGTCTTCGCCGAAACCGTCCGATATATGACCTGTGTGATCGAAAATCAACGTTCGAATAACACTGTGAATCAGATTTGTTAATCTCTTTGTGCTTTAAAACTAAAACCCGAACTACGATTTTTCGTTCAAGGACTCTCTTGTCTTGATCAAAGCTGCTAATGTCAAAATTTGACAATGAGGAGAATTATGACATCAAATTACCAAACCAAAAACCAAACCACTACGTGAATTGCGAATAAATATATT